AGGGCGACGACGTCCTCCAGACAGGTCCATGGGTACATCACCTCCAGGACGGAACGAGGGGTGATTCTCAGTGGCAGGTGGGTTGGCAGCAGGGGCAGCAGGACGGGGAGCAGGAACAGGATTTGTTGGTGGAGGACGCAGAGCCGGGGTCGCAGTAGTAGTCCAAGGTTTTTTACTACCTCGCTTAGCTTCCGCCGCCCGTCGTCGGTTATCCAACCGTTGCAAGAGTGTTGCACAACCATCTACCGTTGCAGGAGTCTCATGGTGTATCATTGATTCGTCCAGTTCCCCATTAATTCCTTCCATCAAAGCCTCAATCCGAGAGACTTCATCCATACCCGACTCAGCAGCATACCGTTGAAACTCAGCAAAATAATCGGCAAAGGTTCGAGTGCGTTGTCTGATGTTCCGAAGATTTCTTCTAGCTGTCCGCATTCGATCGGGGTCTCCAAAAGCTGTATCCAGAATCTCATAAAACCGTGTCATAGAAGGTAGGGCAATACCTTCTTCTCCCATGTACTGTAAAAACTGATTGGCAGCAGCACCTTCCAATCTGCTGAACGCGTACGATAACTTAGACTGTAGTGTAGGATAGCGATCGATATTTCCCAGTAACTTAATTTTCATTTGTTGCTTGAATAAGTGTAGTCTTTCTCGATCACGATCCCCCCTAAACACATCGGGATCTGGGAGTTTCTCCGACCGATAGGTGGTACCTGTAACTGGTGGCGCTGGAGGTACAGGTGGAGCGTTGTTTCCAATAGGTTCTTCGTCAGGGGCCACAACCTCAACAGCAGTTTGTTGAGCTCGGGCAGCAGTAAGATCTCGTTCAAATATCCTTCTTGCCCTCTCAGCCTCCGCTTCTATCTCCTGTAAATCCGTTGCATATTGAATAAGACCATTTTGACACTGTTGAAGAAGCGCATAAGCTTCAGCTCCGACAACATGATCGACCTGTGGATGCGCTTCAAAAAATCTTTGGAGGTTATCGTTGAGTTGTTGATAATCGACATGGGCATGTTCCGACATTGTAGGCTATGGTGTTGTATTGGTTGGCGATAGAGGACGCAACCTACGTATCACGGGGACTATAGGCGATAGACTGTGGTGCCAAGGAATACAACCTAGGTAGTGACGTAGACGTGGACGTAGACGTAAAGGTATACTTTGACTATGGACTATGGGTGGCTCTACCTGGTATGATAAACCGGTTGGAGCCCTATGACGTAGTGCGAACAAAGAATAGTATTCGTGGAATAAAATACAGAGGTTGCGTAAAGAAGAAAGAGAAGAAGGAAAACAGACAAAAGCACAAGACAACGCCCCCTTATATATCCATCCATAATCCAACGATGACTAATACCTTCGCGTAACAGAAACCCAAAGAACATAACAGAAATCCCCATTACAAATCCTAATTCCACTGCACGATACCTCCTTCCCTCATCTCAGTTCATCACCTAGCCGAAATACGTAGCTGCCGTTACACTCTAGATATTGGTGTGACGACGCTGGTAGCAGATATTCGATTAGGGTAGGGCACACCTTCTTGAGATCAGCAAAGGCACGTGATATCTCCGGATTTGACTCCTCGAAAGCGCCTTCTAGGACAAATCTAACGGTCTTTTTCCTACCGTCGTGGCGGAGAAGATGCAATTCAACGTCTTTGTGGTTGGTGTGTGTCACCTGACGTTTGAAAAGACGGTGATATTGCTCTCCGATTAGGACGTTGGTATTCCAGATAGTGGCGTATTGCCTGCAGTAATCGTGATAATGCACTGCAACGTGGATATTTGGTCGATTCAGCCACCCCCCGAGCACGTTAGCTGACGCCTTTGGTGGCTGAGCACCCCCTAATTGGCTCCCAGGCTCAGAGATATCGTCGTCTTCGTTGATGGGTGCTGGAGAGGCACCTGAGGAGGAGGCACGTGATGCCACACCACCTCTGCCCCGCGTACCTGCGCTAATCGCGCAATTGATCAGCCTAAGAGACAGAGATCGGCAAATTAGCGTTGAAGAGCTCATATTCTGCACGTTATCAGCGCTCAAGCAGTGCTTGGTAATCAGGGTGTAGCTCGATGCTAACTGGCTATAGACCCTAGTCACGATATCGCACTCTTTTAGGCGCAAATCAGGACTCAATTCTGCATCATACTCTGCTCTGATAGCACGTAATAGGGCAGGTTGGAGGCGTTGATTTGTCAGCCAGGTACGCAAAACCATCGCCGTTATGACACAAGCCCTGCTTTGCTCGCTCAAATCCCAGGAATTGCGATGACGTAGGGGGTTTTGCACCCTGCACCAGCCTGGTGGTAGGGCTTGCTTCCGGAAGACGGAGGCGTATGCCTCACGTTGATTGGGCAACAGGAGATTGTCGATCAAAAGATCCTGAAGTAAACGCCCTATTCCGGACATCTCGGCATGGGGGGGGTCAGGCGGAAAGCTCCTACACACGTCAATTGCGGGAGCTAATGACGTCAAAACAGGGGAGGGCAGCTCGTTGATACCCAGCGCTCGGAGATGCGCTTTGCGCCTAGTAGGCGGCATATCTGACGCTTTAGTCCTAATATCTAGCGTCACGTGGTGATATCTGCCTCTTTTGGTGATATCGTAGTCCAAATTGCCGTATTCTTTTGATGGTATTAGGCAGCTTCTGCACCCGAAAGCAGCGTTTTGGCGCAGGAAGCCAGCGCATTCGTTTTGCTGAGGCATATCACCTAGATACCCTAGCGCAAATGACGACACAAACGCCTCCACTAGCGCCTCCGATTCGCCATACGGAATCTGCATTATTACCCCGGATTCGAGCTTTTTGGAGGGCGTTTCCAGGCACCCTAAAACGTCGCGCAAATCGCTACCGTGTGGTCCAAGCGTCAGGGGAAAGACATTAACGAGCCTGGTACGCTCTCTGATTGGTAGGTTAGACGGTATCATATATACCCCTGATGCGCATCAGTCAGTACGGTAAATCACAAAGGGGGGGGTATACGCCATACACCCACCTGTCAGCGATCTGTACATATTGCGATATAAGCCAAAACCGTCGATAAACGTCATCTGGGGCATGCATCTGATTGGCCGTTGCCCTGCACGTGATACAAAATCACGTTCAAGCACCTGCCTACCGTACGCCTTGATTTCGAGCTCTGCCCTGACTGGGTGGGTAAGACGTACTGCCCTAATCGAGCGTTTTGATAGGTTGATTACCCTGCGTATATTGATTAATGCGGTAGGGTTGAAGGCTTGGTTTGGAGGCGGAGGTGGGGGCATACCGTGATTTGGTGCCTGGCGTTGATTTGGTGCCTGGGCTTGATTCACCCGCATACCAGCGTTTTGACGTGCTGCCTGACGTGCTAACCTAGCACCCTCTCTAGCAGCCTCTTGACTGCCGAGCAATTCAGCCTCTTCAGCGAGGTCTCTGTCGTCACGGAAATCGCGATCAAATGTGACGTTTTCACCTAATCTAGCGAATATCTGATTGGCTGATATCAACCTGATGTCCTCGATTAGGAAGCACTCTCCAGGGTGGGGTGGTGGGTGCGTCACCAAAGGCTTGATATCGTCAGCCAAATCGACGTATCCCATGACGGGCTCTAAATATACGACGATATTGGGTGTGGTAGGCGCACCGGTGGTAGGTGCACCGGCGGTAGGTGCACCGGCGGTAGGTGCGGTACGCATGTCTTGGTAAATGCATCGTACACGCCCAGCATGCAGCATATTGGACTCTCGATACGTGACAAAATCAGAAGGAAATATGGGAGAGCCTGTTGATTAGTCAGTCTTGATTTGCTTAGAATTGGGTGCAATTTAGGAGGGTGTAAGACCGTCAGGATATCGAGCAAATACACCACTGCACGTGCGAATAGACTCCGCCCAAGCCTCTCCGTGCCACAATTCTGACGCCTCCTCCACCAATTGCGCCATACCAAAATGCATGTGCTGCCTCATCTTAGAGCGTAATATCGTCTGTGTCAGCTCGATTGGGTCAAAAAAATAGGCTTTACCAGCCCCTGATTGACCCGTTGGCATCTTATCTAATCTGAGATCGATCTTGCACTCGTAGATTGGCGGTGCGGGTATCTGTGCCTGGTAATGGTTTTGGAGGGTGTCGAGCGTATTTGGGAGGTGTTTCCAAACATCCGGGTTGTCACGTGCTAGGTGTATTACCTCGAGCAAAGCAGCGTAATCTGGGCGACTAATATTAACCCTATCACACCAAACAGCAAAAGCAAAAAGAAACGGGCTCATTGGGTGCTTTGAAGTAGGAGGTTTCCAAGCAATCGTCGGTTCAGGCACCGTTTCTGCATCTCCGGGTGCCTCCGCCTCCTCCGCCTCCTGCAAAACGGGTGCTTCTGCCTCCTCTATATCGGCGTTTTGCTCTGCCAATTGCTCGGTCCAAACGGTGTTTCCTTCCAAGATATCAGGGCGTCCTTCGTCATCAGATACCACCGGATATTCGTCATTATCAGGCTCAGAATCGGGCTCTAAATCTGCCTTAGATTGATGCTCAGATTGATGCTCGTGCTCAGCAGGAGGCTCGTCTTCGTCGTCCTTATCGGCATCTGGGGTGCAAAGGCGCTCCCCGTCACGTTTGCGCTTGCCTAACGCGTGTATAGCCCTACCAGGTAATGCTAGGAATCGATCGAGATCAAGGCCCCTATCTGGCATACTGACGAAGATTGGCGATGGTCTGGTAGGTTAGCGATGGTCTGGTAGAGTAGCGATGGTTTAGTAGACTGGCGAGGTGTGGTGTGATATCTTCGTGGAGGTTGACGATGGTTGAGGACTATCTTAAGACCGCGCTAGCCGTATTAGGCAGGTGCACGGGCCATATGAGGCTCAATGAGGCGGAAGTAGGGTGTGGTGACGTCAACATACCAGCATCAACCTCCACGAAGATATCACACCACACCTCGCCAGTCTACTAAACCATCGCTACTCTACCAGACCATCGCTAACCTACCAGACCATCGCCAATCTTCGTCAGTATGCCAGATATGGCAGATTCGGACGCCAGCGCTGAGAAGGAAGTGCGTATCTTCGAGATCAACGTGAGTACGGTGCAGGGGGTGGTAGGTGCGCTGATACTGACTGACTGACTGACGTGACGCCACCAGACATATAAAAATCGATGCCGTTGGGAGGTGGAGGATGTGCAGATGGCGTACTGCTTCTTCAGCGGCTTGCTGGCCGGTGAGCGCCCTAGCCAATGCACCGGGCTTCTGTCGGAGGTAAAGAAGGCCTTGTTGAGCTCTTCCAAATTCAAGCGAGGCGCCAATCAGGAAGAGCTCAGCCCTGCGAATGATTACCTCTTTGGGGTGCTGAAGAGCCTTGCAAGGCGTACGTATCTGAGGCAATTCGTGATCGATGACATCGATTCTCTAATCTCAACGGCTTTTGGTGCCGATTTCGTCAAGGACACCGCCATATTCAATCTAGTACGCAATCGTACCCAAAACGGTATCCACCAGATTAAGCATCAGACGATTGAACGTTTTTTTGAGCACGTGCAGCAGACTCTTACCCAGGAGGGTGTATTATTCCGATCTGCACGTAATCTCGACGCAATCAGAGACTACTACGCCAAAGCCTACAATATCGAGAATCTGATGTCGATATTCTACTGGGTGGAGCCCCTTGTCGATATCGCAAAGTCATCCAAAAGAGTGCAATTCATGATGAAGGGTAATACCCCCCCCTTTGGGCGATCAGTCAATCGCTAATCCGTGCAGTAATCTACGTCAACATGTGCACGTTTACCAAGATGCATATCCACAAACCCTATTCTGCAGATTACAATAGGACGGCGTTGAATCGATTCTGGGACCGATTGGGTGCATCGGCGGCGTGGGAGGGCATTGATTTGTCGCATTATCACGTCAAACCACCCAAAACCAAGCGCAAAAAGGTCAGGCACGGCAGGGACGAGGACTTTGACGATATTGATGACGACACGCGCTTCTTTATGCTTCCCGATGACGATTCCGGAGGTGCACCTCAACCCGAGGATACAGGCCAAGTTTTGGTAGATTTGGCGGGCAACGACGACGATTGGGGAGAGGAGGTGCGGTCAGAAGTGGCGCACGAAGAAACCCCTGCACGTGCGCAGGCTCCCCGTACTTCTAATATTGCGCCAACTCCCGGTATTGCGCAGACTCCTCGTGCGCCTACCCCTGCACAAGATGTGCCTGCTGCACCAGCTACGCCTGCTGCACCAATTCCGCCTGCTGTACCAATTACACCTCCTAGGGCGGTTGCGCCTAGTATTGCGCCTACCACGCCTACCACCACCACCACCACCACCACCACCACCACGACGATTTCGCCTGGTGTTGCTCAAGCCGCAACCCTTGCACCTGCCCCTGCGCCTGGAAGGAATACTAGAGCTCGAGGCAAAAAAGCCCCACGTGGTGCTGTTTGAGCTCAGAATCCACACCCTAATACCCACCAAGATGCACGATATAATTACCCCTGGTGCCCCTGATGCCCCTGATGTCTCAAAAGGCGTTGATTTTGTTACGATTCATGACGTTACGACCCTAGTCTAGGAAAAAGCAATAAAATGTGATTAAAAAGCAATATTCTGTCGTGATACCCCCTAATCTAGTGTACGGGCCCAATTATAAGCCGAAATGTCGTTTTTTTCGATTTTTTGAGCCCTATCGCCACTAAAGTAGGGTTAGGGTTCAAAAATATCGTTTCTTGGCGATACGCGCGATACGATTTCACGTAATATCACCGTTTTGATGCGCAGTACAGCCAAAACACGACTTTTACCTGAGCGCTTGGGTATCTAGATACATATGCACCTCCTAATCGGTGCCTGGAGTCTAATTGTACGTAGATTACATGCCTAATTATCGCGCAATACAGCCCTATATCCCAAAAAGACGTACTACAGCTATGTGCGCGGATCCTAATCTAGATCGCGGAGCAGGCACCAAACTTCCACATGTTTGGCCTGAAAGCGATGCCCGCTCCATCCACAAATTTAATCTCTCGACGATGCCGCCACGTTCGTACGAAGCGTACGAAGGCAGGTCCGATGACTAGGCAACGATCTAAAAGGGGTGAAGCGGCACAGTATCGGGGGTTAGTAAACACCAAAATTGGGAGAATGATATACAGGAGGGATCCCCTAAAGCCAGGAAAGCAGCCAGTACCCCGGTCCCCATGTAAGAGGCTCACGACGCTTATCTGTCGACTCGAAGCTGACACCACAAACCTGACGTGTCGGGAACGTTCAGGGCCCAAAGGACCGTGAACGACAGGAACCCATGAAGCGCCCCACGATGCCCGCCCCCATTGGTGGGGGGTAGGACCCCACCGCTGGCTAGTTGCACTGCTGAGTGCAAAGCGTCAAGCCCCGTGCGACGCGACAGGGTTAATTAAGGGTAAAAGTAAAACAAGGGTATCGTGGGCTAAAGGGCTAAAACGAAGATTAGTATCTACATGTATTACGTACTAGGTAGAAGGAAACGTACCAAAATCACGCGCGGAAGGTTGTACGAGGTTAGGAGGGAAAGATGAGTTATGATTCGGATGCCTCTACATAGATTAGGGAGTTACCCGGCTCAGCTACAGGCTTAGTCATCCACAGTTTCCCGGCTTAGATAAGCCCTATATCAGGATTACCTACCTATAATACTTCCTAGCCAATCAGCGTTGAGCTCAAATAAGCGCTGTTTAAGACATATCACGAAATAATGCCTATTTTGCCACTAATTATGATTACGTAACCTAAGATTTGCCTTAAAATCAGGCTTTTGGGCAGGTAAAGGCGTATATATGCCTTATGTGGGACAGAGCATTACCCGATTTGGAGGCTTACACCAAGGTAATGCTAAAGTGACCCTTTTTGGGTGCAAAACGCTTATATAAGCCTCCTCCGCCAGCAAATCGTAATTGGAGGCTTATTTTTTTACCCGTTGCCACAGTCAAGTACCGGGTGCATGTAGGTCTAAAAAGCAGTCCCAGACTTGGCACACACAATTCCCCCACTATCACGACGTACGATCACAATTAACAAAAGGATTCTCCTGTCCGTAACAGCACCAAACGACAACCAAACCTACGACAACCAGCGTCCGCGTCCGGCCAAAATATTCACCATGGTACTTCCCCTCGTGCTCCCCCTTCCTTCTTCTTGAACGGCTGCAATAAACGCCTCGGCTACGACATCGCCATTTGGAACTTTTCCATCTCCGCCGTCATCGAGGTAAAAATCTTTGACGAAGGAGCTCTGGAAAGGTCTTTTGCATCATACATAATCCGGAGCGAAAGATCCCGATCAATTGCAGATTTCATGCTCTTGTGAAGTGGAACTCTACTCACGGTTTTATGTTTGAAATGGCTGAAGTCTCATGTGCTGATGGCTTTATTGCATATGCCACGAGACTTTTAGAGTAGATTATAATCTGTTGAAGAATATTCGCTGATTTAAATCTCTCAATGACCAGCCAGCAAAATCAAAGAAGACCGCCGCTGCCCCGTTCCCTCAGCAGAGGGCAGGTGCCAGCAAGAAGGCCAAGGTATTTACACCCCCCCCCCCCCCCCCCATTTTATCCGAGATAAATAACCGAACTCGGAGTTTTTGCTCCGGTTCGAATTACTAATCAGTTATCGTGATAGAACCCTCTCATTGAGAAGCGTTCTCGCAACTTCGGTATTGGCCAGGATATCCAGCCCCGTAGGAACCTTTCGCGTATGGTGAAATGGCCGGAGTATGTTCTTCTCCAGCGCCGCAAGAAGGTCTTGAACCTCCGTCTCAAGGTCCCACCTGCCATCGCCCAGTTCCAGAATGTTCTCGACAAGAACCTTGCTACTCAGACCCTAAGTCTTCTCAACAAGTACCGCCCTGAGACCAAGGCCGAAAAGAAGGAGCGTTTGGTCCAGGAAGCCGCGGCTATCAAGGACAGCAAGGACAAAGCTTCTTTCGTCGGTAAGAAGCCTTATGTCGTGAAGTACGGCCTTAACCACGTTGTTGGTTTGATCGAAAACAAGAAGGCCTCTTTGGTTCTTATCCCCAACGACGTTGACCCCATTGAATTGGTCATCTTCCTTCCCGCTCTGTGCAGGAAGATGGGTGTTCCTTACGCCATCATCAAGGGCAAGGCCCGTCTTGGAACCGTTGTTCACAAGAAGGTTCGTATCCATATTCGTTGACTTTGGTTTCTGTACTTCCGGTCTCTTACTCTCGTGACTAGACCGCCGCCGTTCTTGCGATCACCGAAGTCCGTGCTGAGGACAAGGCCGAGCTTTCCAAGCTCATCTCCGCCGTGAAGGAGGGCTACCTCGAGAAGTACGAGGAGCAGAAGAGGCACTGGGGAGGTGGTATCATGGGTGCTAAGGCCAACGCCAAAATTGGTAAGTGTTCCTGAAATTCCACGCCTACTTTCTGAGCATGGGTTCTAATTTATTCTTACAGCCAAGAAGCAAAAGGCGTTGGACGCGGCCATCAAGATCTAAGTGTTTTTTCCTAATTGTGTTCAAAATGAATAAAAGTCAAATTTCGGGCTAGTTTGAATCTTATGGTGTCTTGGAATTGGGTATATCTCGGAAAGCAGTGAATTTTTTCCTCACACTTTATCTTTTTTTTTTTTCTTTCTCTTTCTCGGTACAATACCAAGTAGTATCAACCATTGGTTAGGATAACCTACATGCGTTGCATTACACAATATAAGCGTACCAGTCTTTCAGTCCCAATTGGTGCGCCCCACGGTATGCAGCAAGCAATGACTCTGGGTACGAGATTAGAGTGCTTCGCTCAGCATCCTTGCTGCATATGTTTTCTTCTTTTTTCGTTCTCCTTCCTTTCTTTCAACTGAATTTTTTTTATGTGTGTCCGCGCTGCGTTGTGGGTGTGTAGAAGTACTGTACCGTGTAAGTGTGTAAGTGCGTGCGTGTGCGACCGACGGCACAACAACTTACCGTGCGCAGGACGCTGTAAACAGTGCAAATGCCGACATCTTTAGAATGGACTGGGTCCGCATACACGTAGAGTAGGTAGAAAAATTGATAAAGTAACTGTGGTCTAGGCACAGCACTAATGACAAACCGCAAAGCAAGAACGTCAAAGCCGAAGGGATTGCGTTGACACTCATCAGATGAGCGATGAGAGAGTAGTGGGTGGCGGTTGAGTGATCAAATACCAAGCAACCAAGCACGGAAAAATTTTGTCTGCCGTCCGTGAGTGAAGAGACGCAGCCAGTCGGGTTTCCGTTATCAAGGCACAAAGGCACGGACGCATCATGGATCAGCCTGATTCCCACTCTACTTTTCCTTCTCATGCGGGGTGCGGGGTCCTGCTTTATGAATAGCAACGCTAAGAAGCTTGAATTGGCTTGAATTGGACCAAATTGAGGCTCCAGTAGGACTTTCGGCATATTTCCCCGAGTGAGGACGACTGCGGAGAAGATAGCGGCCAAGCCCTCGGGCAACGCTTTACCGTTCCTGTGCTCGGTAGACATCGGTTATCGCAGAATCCAGGTACATTTTGCTCATGGAAATGGAAGTTGTGTAAGGCATGGGTCATGCGGAGATAGTCTTCAACCGGTGAAATCAGCCTCAGTCACGAGAACACATTCCCAGGGTGACGTTTTTCTCATCCCCCACGAACAAGAAAAAAAATTATGTCCATCGCTATCGTCACGAACAACACCACCCGCCTTTGTTATCACCGCCGCCCCTCAACAATCGTGTTTTCAAGACACCACCACCCTCGTAGCCTCGTGCTTTGTGCAACCGGATTAATAAAATGCCTGAACACACTCCCATTCGCCCCTTCTCTCGTCGTCGCACCCACACCTTCTGAAATCAATAAGGACTGCCGTGTTCCCTCCTTCTCAGCTCCACAACCTCCACAACCACGACAACACACTCAATTATCATTCCCCCAGCTCGTCAAAAGCCTTTTTTTGTCTACCCTCAGTACCTCCGTCCACCCGTCTGTTCCTGCTGCTCCTGTTGTTGCTGTTGCTCTCTCCCTCTCCCTCATCCCATAGAGATTCCTTCGATCCCCCCACCCTCCCAATTGCAAGGGAATATCATCATCGTCACTCTCCACTGCCAATTCTAATGGGTTCCAGTTCTTCAAAAACACGTGCGTCTTCTTCAGCTAGCAGTAGCACTATTAGTAGCCGTCGATCCACTCGTAGTGATTTGAACAACTATTCTCATAATCCTACTGTGCCTCGTCCACGTCAAAAAAATGTCCCGAGAGAAGCTTTCACTGCCGCTATCGACCAGGGTACAACCAGTTCTCGGTTTTTGATTTTCGATAGTACTGGTACACCACGTGCAAGCTACCAAATGGAGTTTGAGCAGCTATATCCACACTCGGGGTAATTGACCCCGAATCATACAAGCGCGGTCAATCCTCTATGGGTGCTAACTGCAGTGAATAAATCAATAGATGGATTGAACACGATCCATATGAGCTGGTAAATTCAGTAAAAACGTGCATTGAGCGAGCCACCGAGGAGTTTGTTGCAGATGGTTATGTAGTGGAAGATATCAAAGCCATTGGCATCACTAATCAGCGTGAAACAACGGTAAATAAATTCCCCACATTTTGCTTTATATTTCTCTACAAACAGGAATGAGTGAAACTTTAAATCCATTAACCCGGTACAGCTGCTGATCCTTTTTGCTGTTTCCAGGTTGTCTGGGATACTGAATCAGGAAAGCCCCTCTACAACGCTATTGTTTGGCCTGATACTCGAACATCTAAGCTAGTTCACGAATTGCGCAAGAAAGAAGGTTCTGAAAAGCTGCGAGAACTATGTGGCCTTCCACTATCTACTTATCCTTCCAGTGTCAAGTTAGCATGGATGGTACGGCATGTCCCGGCTGTCCAGGCCGCGCTGAAAGCCGGCCGTCTATCGTTTGGAACAGTTGATTCTTGGTTATTGTATAACTTGACTGGCGGAGTCAAGGTTGGACTACACGTCACAGATCCCAGTAATGCGTCGCGAACCATGTTTTGCAACATCAAAACATTAGAGTACGATGATTTTCTAATAGACTTCTTCGGTGTCAGAGGTGTAAATATGCCTAAGATTGTGCCATCGTCAGATCCTGATGCTTATGGGGTGCTTAGCGATGGCATTCTTAAGGGTATAAAAATCGCCGGATGTCTTGGTGACCAGAGCGCTGCTCTGGTCGGGCAGTGTGGGTTCACCCCAGGGATGGCTAAAAATACCTATGGCACTGGATGCTTTCTTCTCTACAACACTGGGAATGAACCGGTTGTATCGAATAACGGCCTCTTGACCACCGTTGCATATTCCTTTAAAGGCCACAAGCCAGTGTATGCCTTAGAGGGTATGTGCTCATCCGGTGCAAATCTAAACAGGCCTTATTGATCTAATCCTTCATTCCAGGTTCAATTGCCGTTGCGGGCTCCGCCATAAAGTTTTTGAGAGATAATCTTGGGTTAATCAAACATTCGGGCGAGATTGGCGAGTTGGCATCCAAAGTCAAGGGTAGGTTGGCCTTTAGAACTCGAAATCTCTCGGGATTCCCAGGCTATATAGGTGGATAAGCTAACTTGACCCCAGACAGCGGTGGTGTTGTTTTTGTTACCGCATTTTCCGGGCTATTTGCTCCATATTGGGTCGATGATGCCAGGGGTACCATTTGTGAGTTTACTCGTTGAAGATGCTCAGTACTAGTGACTGACTTTCTACTAGTTGGTATCACGCAATATACCACGAAAGAGCACATCGCAAGAGCAACTATTGAAGCAACCTGTTTCCAAACGAAAGCTATTCTCCATGCCATGGAAAAAGACAGCGGTACAGCACTACACACACTCGCTGTTGATGGAGGCATGAGTAATTCCGATGTGTGCATGCAGGTATGTTCAACCAAGAAATCTAACTCTACTTCAAAAATATGGTGGCTGATTATTGGATTAGCTACAAGCCGACATTATGGGTATGCCAAAAAAACTCAATCAACACCACTCTGGTCTTGCTAACATGAATTCTAGGGATTGACGTTGATCGACCTCAAATGCGTGAAACAACGGCTCTCGGTGCTGCAATTGCGGCAGGATTTGCGGTGAACGTATGGCAAGAGTTCGATGAACTTAAAAATATCAACCGGGAAGGCCGCAAAACATTTACCCCTTCAACAACCGAAGAGCAAAGGAGTGGTTTGTTCTCACTTTGGGAAAAAGCTGTTAAGAAGGCCCAAGGTTGGGTAGACAACGACGCTTTAGACGCAGCCGACGACGAAGAAGACGAACGGTGATCCAGGTGATCCGCGGTAAATCGGTTATATTGACTCGCGATTCTGCTCTAAGTCTACTATGGCGTTGCGGAATACATTTGGTTTATTTTAAATGTCTTGAAATGTCCTTGGTCACCCAGACATGTTACCCGTTAACGAGATTCCGGGTACCTGAGTTGGGACTCCTCTTTCCATAATTGTTTTTATTTACCCCCTATATGATTGGAAACGCTTGTACAACACTAGATAAATAGTTAAAATAATTGGATCGATATGAAGCAACTTGGTTTTTTACAATGATATGTGATGGCTCGGCTGTGAAGAAATGTTGACTTACTTACTATATTTAGAAATCCACTATTATGGGTTAACGTTTCAGAGTAATACCCTTGATTCGGAGAGAAACGAGAACAGGCTTATCATGACGCGTTAAGTATTGCGACTGAAAATGGTAATAACCCCCTATACTAGCGGAGCAGTTATTTGCATGGGACCCACTAGGGGGATGAGCCGGAGATGTTCCTGAATATCATCTGTAGGTGGGTAACACGAGCTCCAGTGGTTCTGCAACATCAGATGTTTTCCAACCTTCAAACTACATGTGGCTACATGACAACGGTACCTTAACTTGTAGCTTCGAAAATGAACTATAGTCTAGATAAGACCGTCTATTACCACATACGTCAAAACACTCTCCAATACCAGTGTTTTCCCACCCGCTCTAGTCGGCGTTCACTTAGGTTTATTTCTAACTCTCCATATGATTTGATATATATCTCCGGCTGAGCGCCCCTCCTCCGCAAAATTCGTTTAGAAACACATATCAATATATTACAACTGTTTATTGCGACGTGCCTAAATATATACTATTCACACGTGTTCTCTTTCAGAATACAGTACCCCCCCCCAAAAAAAAAGCGGGTGGATTCAGTACCTTAATATCTAATATTAGAATACCGCGAGGTTGCGGTATAATGGTTAGGATTCCGATTTAATTCAGAAGTCTTATGAAATCCCGTACTGCTAAAGTACCTGTTATATCCCTTTTGTGGCACTGTATCATATTGGCCCGAGAAAATTATCAAGCTACGGAAATTACCATAAAAGGGAGGTAATTCTAAGTTACATGTAGATACGGTTAGTTTTATGGCCTGCGTTTAGGTACTTTAGTCACTTGGCCAAAACAGCTTAGAGACGTACTCGTCCAACCTTCGTGATCACCATCGGTTGGT